GCGGGAGGAACGCGGCCTATGTGTTACCACTGCTAACAACAGCATCCGGTGCCGGGAATCGAACCCAGGCCTTGCGTGACGAGCCGCTAATTCTAACCGCTGAACCACATCGGACCATGTCATGGGCCCGATCCAGCACAGTTTCCACCACAGCGATCACATACACTTTTAACGGCTTGGCCCAGGATTCTGCACTCCTGAGTCCACCCTAACATTCGCAGGAAGGGTAGTGGTTTGGGGCATAGTACCCGTACTATACATAGATCTGTAAATATAGTTAGGAAATGCACAGTACAGCGCAAAATTCCAGTATGAATAGCACAGTAGATGAACAGGTTCCGTTTTATTACCTGCATCGCAACGCCTGCCGCTGATCGCTCAACTTTCCATTAACATGCAATCCACTTGCTCGGCATTGCAGATGCCAATATTTTGCCATGTTTGTTGCATACATTTCAGACCACCTATATTGTTCCTTGTCATCGGAGATCAAAAGTTGAAAAAGTGGGAAAAAATGTCTCCTGAACGCATGAAGTGTGTTACATTATTCAGGTTTTTGATTTCCCCGTTTCTTATTTCAGGCGAGGAACATACCCATTTCCCCCTCCCCCCCCTCCCCGCCGATCGTTACATGGGAGCGCGAATATTCCCGGTGATTCGATCAAGTATGACACCGAAGTGACAGTTCTGCGAGCACGACAAAGACACTGTCTACGAAAACAATTTATTAAACAAATATTTTACAATGAAAGAGACGGCAACCAAATCAAATGAACATATAAAGCGAACCAATGAAGTGTAATCTTAGTAGGTCAATTATAGGTGAGGCAGCACCGCGAGCATCGGGCGGTCAAAAAACCAGATCGAAAAATGAGGCAATGTATTCCAAGCAATCCGCTAAACTACTTAATGATACTTCCTAATTCCCGCCAAATCAAAAGCCGCTTCCGGGGCATCTCATATACACTGCCATCCCCAAACATGTCCCCCCCTCTGAAGCTGCTGCCCTCAGCAGTGGGATCTCGTTCCTCTTGAGCTCGGGCAACGGAACCAAACCAGCTACCCTTTTCCTTATACCCTCATACAGAGCCTTAGCGCATGCCAACAGTAACAAGGTCGGAGCGCTGTAAAAAAGAAATTGACAGCTTCGGGGCTCCGATCTAAACAAAAAAACTTGGCCATTCTCATTTTTGAATTGAAGCTTTGAAAAACTGATCGCAGCTCACCTTTTTTCCAGGGCATTATCTATCAGCCTCCAGATATCAGCCATTTTTTTCCACATATCCAAATTTTTCGCAACTACAGGGGGCCAGGCTGATATCACACGACCTCCTCTTTCAAAATGCATTTGACAGACTTTCACGATTTCCATTATCTCATCTTGCTTGCATTTCGCATTCATCGGCCGGACCGACTACCCAAAGTCGCGCATGCTCCCTCGAACTCGTTGAGCGCTATCTCTCAACTGGCCAAAACTTCGCAGCAATCTCCGTGACAATTCCTCGTTTGGGACCGTCCTTTTCCAAAAGCGCCGCACTTGCTGGTGCTGCGAACGCTGTCGAACCCTCCTTGATGGGCCGCTTCGCCCTCTCTTCCAGCTCAATTTCCTTTTTGACTTTCTTCAGTGCCACATCAAGTCTTTCCGAATCCCATAGTTGTCGAATCTTCCTCGTGCTTTACTGCAACTTCCTTTCTGTGACACAAAACATAATTCCGTCCATCGAACACTTTTCGTAGGCCTAGGCGAAGAACTTCTGCTATGCTTCCCTCGATCCAAACAGAAACTGCTTCCGTCCTTCCCAGAATTTTATCTTTGAACAGGCCATTCGATATCCGATCTTATAAATACTCGCTGCACCGCCATCGTTTTCCACATACGTTCCATTGTTTCTTTGCGAAAGCCCCGGCAGACTGCAATCCACGACAGTTCTCTAACATGACGTCCTTCAGACGGACTCCATACCTTAGCACACGCTATTCGAGATGTCCTTTCTCAGCTTCGACTTATGTGTGCGCCTCTGAACAAAAACTATTATTCTATGACCTAACTCTGATGTTTCTTAACTTTTTCTACCCCTACTTGTAACCGTATCTATTCGATCATCCGGAAATGCAGTGGGGGACCACTCTCAGCGCATCAAACTGCACCCGAATCGGCTCTGAGTTTTCACCTATTCTCGTAATAACTGCCGAGTTATCGCTCGTCTCAATAACTCTAAAGGGTCCAGCCCACTCACACGCTAGTTTTGGGTGGGAGCTCATTGTCCCCCCCACTTCTTCCCTTGGGACACGCATATGCACGCGTCCCCCACTTTTGCGAGCTTATACTCATCGCAACGCTCATTTCTCTATTCATAAGTCCTTTCTTCATCTTCTCCCTTACACGCTCATTATAATCCTTTATCCGATCATGGACCTCCGCTACCGACTGCAACAATTGCACTTTGTAGTCCTCCTTATCCTTGTCCATCATATACCAAAATATGCCTCCATTGGATCACCGGAGGCATTGGGACTATCCATGCAAAAATAAAAAAAAAAAAAAAAAAAGACTCTCTTCGTGCCTGGTGGCGAGTCCGTGTTATACGGCGAAACATGCAGAATGTAACCTTAATGTCCATTCCATCGAGCACTACCGTACTCGCCTTGCATGGCTACCCACCGTCCATTCAATACGTTCCGTAGCCGTTCCCTAGATTGTAGCCTTTGGTCATCAAGTGCTCTATACGCGTAATCCTAGTCAACTCCTCCATGATTTTATTCTCGAATTCTCCACCCCTGTCCGATAAGATTGCTTTAGGCCAGCGGCATCCTTCCGCTATCCATCTCACAAAGAGCGTTTTCGCAATCGTTTCTGCCGACTTGTCCGCTACAGGGTAGGCTGCTGCAAACTTCGAGAAATGGTCGATGACGGTAATCGCATACCGATTCCCACTCGACGTCATCCCCAATTCTAACACATCCACACCGACAACTCATAAGGTTTCGAATAAATCGGATTCAAATGGGTTTCCCTACTTAGCGTGTGTACGAAACATCGTTGACACTCTCGTGTCCACTTATGGACATCTCGTGCCATGGCTGGCCAAAAAACTTGCTTCCTCAGTTTATTCAACACCTTGTGTGCACTGAAATGCCCTGCAAACGTTCCTGCGTGGGCTTCGTGAAAAACTTCGTAGCGGGCGCTTCTTGTAGCCCCCCGCCCCGCCCCCCCGCCTGCCCCCCCCGCCCGCCGCCCCCCCCGGCCCCCCGCCCCTCGCCCGCCCCCCCGCCACATATACCAAACTTCCCTCATTGGTGTACATTTTTAGATCCCCATCTTCTATTACGAAGTCCGCCACATTCACCGGATTCCGTATCCCTGGCATCGTCACGACGTCAAGGCTACGCCCACTTCTTATCACGTCGAATATAACAGCGAAGTCCTCGTCTTTCTCTAATTCCGTCATCCACTTGGTCTTCTCTTTGACGTTAATGGTATTAACCACTGCCTCGTTGAGCCCGTGCTCAGTCTCCGAATCGTTCCACTGTACAGCCCCTCCTCGACTAAGCGCAACCACATTTGTCTTCCCTTTCACATACCTTATCTCGAGATTATACCTTTGAATCTCCAGAGACCAACGCAAAACTCTGGCCGACACATTCGTCCTGTTGAAAAGTGCAGTCAGTGGCTGATGGTCTGTCAGAACCACTGTGGGAAGTCCATAGATGAACATGTGAAACCGCCTGACCGCGAACACTACCGCTAAAGCCTCCAAATCCGTCACGTGATACCTGCGTTCTGCCTTGCTGAGCCCTTTCGACGCAAAGTAAACCGGATGAAGATTGCTGTCCCCCTCCTGGGACAGCACGGCTCCCAACCCCGACGTTGAGGCGTCTGTGCATACTCACAAATGGGTTTGAGAACCCGGTCTCTGGCCTTTGCTATATTTGGCTGCATCAACACTGGCGACGTTGATATCATCTTCTTAACACTGTCGAACGCCTCCTGATGCTCCTGCGTCCACTTCCAAGCCGTCTTCGGAGACGTGAGAGAAAACAAACATCCTACTCGCTTCGCGAACCCCAAACAGAACTTGCGATAGAAGGATGCCATCCCTAAGAAAGTCCTCAGTTCCTTCACGTTCACCGGAGCCTTGTAACTCGTGATTGCTTCCACCTTCTTTGGGTCCATATCTGGATAGCCTTGCTTACACGACCATGTCCCCAAAGAATTTAACCTCACGATTTGCTATTCAGCACACACTTCTGCGCTTTCAATCTGAGCCCTGCTTCCTGCAGCTTCGCACACACTTGTTTGAGTAGCTCTATATGCCTTTCCCGCGTTTCCGTACAGACTATTATATCATCAATGTAAACAGAAAACTTCAGTTCCAGAAAGTCAACGCCAACAACCGTATCCATTAGTTCTGAACACAGCGGACTGTGCTCAATCCGAAAGATCACACAAATTGTGAATAGTCCTTACGGCGCGTAGTGAACGCTGATTTCTCCCGTGCGTCAGCCGTCAGTGGGATTTGCCAGTATCCACTACAAAGATCCAAAGTCGAGAAATACGATTTACCCGACAAACTTTGCAATACTGCGTCTATCGTGGGTAAAGGGTATGAATCAAGCTTAATTTTCTTATTTAACTCGCGGTAGTCCACGCATAATCTGAGACTGCCATCTTTCTTCTCCACCAAAACAATGGGAAAAGCCCACTCTGAACTACTTTTTTCTATCACTTTCCTCCTTTCCAAATCTTCTAGGAGCTCTCTATGTCTTTCTCATTGCGCCAGTGGAAATGGTCCTTGTTTTCATCTAGATCTGCTTATTATCAAGCCTTGTATTCTCATTTACATTTCTAAAGCATATTGTACCTTGTCAGCTCCCGTCATTTAACTGAAAAGGCTTCAGGAACTTCGTCTGAAACGGACCAACATCCTTCAGCTCAACGTTCTACACTTGACGTCCATCCTCTAATCGTTCTAGCAGTAAAATTCGCCTCTGCTCTGGACTCATATCAGGGATGTACTATCCAGCATGAGCGGGTTCACATCTTCCCAACCCTCACGCCATTTCTCTGTCCCCCACTGACCTATCACGTCTCCTTCTCTACAGATCATGGGCTCATCGCTATCGTTCACCACGGATACATCTACACTTCGACCTTTGATGGTATACACACCTGCAACCATCCCAGTCATGTGTGGCCAAATGAGGCGATCTCCCTCATAACCGTGCCCCTCACATCGAGCCGACACAATCGCTGCACTATGCGGGGTAATGTACGCCCTCCTGGCTACTATTACCTTTCTTGAGGACACCCTGTCCTTATCCGGATCTAGCTCTGGTGATATATGCACGTTCACGCCTAACTGGTCTAAGGAGTTTGTACCCAGTAATATCTCTTTTTTCATTAACATCCATAAGGAAAGAACACTTTGCTTTTCTACCTCCTTCTAATTCTACTGCAATCTTCACAGCTCCCATGAACTCCATGCGATTACCTGATGCGTCATACACTGGAACCATGTCTGAATTAGAATCCATCTCTAAAACTGTCCACCGTCAAATGCCACTTCTTTTGGGCAACTGTGCCAGCACAGCTATGTTACACTTGTGCTAATCAATGAACTGTAACAAGCACGGCGCGCCACCCGAGCCGACCAACATGCTACCATGCTGAGCAATCTCACCTATTAAGGGTCGCACTTCATCGTCGCCGTTGCTTCTTAATGCCGAGAGCCCGCGCACTCTTGATCACCCTGTCATTTACAGTTCTCTCGACCACTTTGTCCGATTGTTGGACGTATCCACTATCTTGTTAACGCGGGGTCTCCTCCGTGGGAAAAAAAAAACAAAGTTTGCCTATCGTCAATATGCCCTATCTGCTGGCAGTTGTAGCATCTTCTTCTATCGCTGCCTCCTTCGCTACGACCTCCCTGTTCTCTTTCAGCGTGACCCCTAGTCCCACCATTCCGAACCTCCTCACTGGGTCTGGAATGCCTCATCTCGCTTCTGCTGGCCCCCTGCTTGGGCCCGTCATTCAAATTGACTTCGCTATGCCCTCTGTCCTGCCAGCCGGGTTTTTTAGGCTCGAGCTTCGGCTTCCTCTCTTGCTTGATGTACGCGCTGACCTCCTTTCCTGGATCCATCTCTTCGCGTGCCCACTCTCGGAGTCCATATCGCCTTCGACTGTGCTCTATGCTCAGAGCCAACTGCTTGACGGAGTCATACGCCTCGGTGGGGTCTACCCTGTGTAGCGTGCTCAGTAGGTGGACGTGTTCTGGCCAATCCGTCAAATTGTCCAGAAGTATTGCTGAGGGCGTACCCATGATCATCTTTTACGAACAAGAGGGTCTAGGCCTGTCGACGGAGATAGTTCTCTACAGTGCGAAGACAAAAGATCTGCAACACTCTTGAATTCCATTCTCCGCCTTAAGGTTTCTGGTAGCTCGGCAGTGCCCTCAATCGTCCCGCCGTTGAATCGTTTGCCAATAACTTCCTTAGTTCTTCCACTACTGTCTCGAAACTTTGCTCTCTTACATTCCTAGGTAATGAAAGAAAAACGCTTTTGGCCCTGCCTTCCAGATGATCAAACAAACCATAAAGTGTCCATAGCAGTCTGTCCTCAGTGCTAAAACATAACAGTCTATACTTCGTTTAAAAAATCGTCTTATGAACTCTTCAAAATTGTCGCCCTTATTCCCCTTGAATATCCCAGGGCTTATGCATGCATTGGCTTGAATGTATGCCATAAAGTTTAAGGCATCCTGACCTGATGTGCCGCTTTGTCGTCCCGATATCTCCGAATGCTGCCTCGAGGCTGGCGCGTAAGCTGCTCCAATCGGTGACGTCCGACTTCTCCGTGGCAGAATCTGAACAAAGTCTCTGTTCGATGAAAGAGCTATCCTGTTACTCCTATCCATTGACCGACCTTCATCTGCTCGTGTCCATGCTTTTACTCCATAGGCTCGTTGCCTGCTCGGAAATGTCTCCTCGAAGCCTGGATCTCTGCTCAGCACTGGTACCAACGTAGTGCGGTCAACTATCCCGTCTGAAAACATGTCACATATTACTGCTAGTAATTCACCATCCCTTTCTGTCACACTAATATACTCATTCAGATCCTCCATACTTTCTATCCCCTTATCCTGAAGCGTCTGCAACAGGTCCTTGCCAAACATCTCATGCCCTACCACACTCGCTCTTATGTCCTCCAATATTGTACAAGCCCGCTGTTATGCTGTACAAAATTTCCATCAACTGGTTTCTATACTTCCCGGCTATACGTGCCTCCGATAGCTCCTCTTCAACCCGTAACGGTAACTGCTTAACCTCATCTCCCACCTTATCCAACTCATCTGTTATCCGCTTAACCTCAAATCTTTGATCACTAACC